GGGAGCGGCGGGCGCGGGTCCGGCAGCAGCCGCTGCGCCCCTCCGCAGGGTGAGGCGGTGTTTCTCTGCCGCCGCTCCCGCCCTGCCCGGCCGGGCTTCCTGCCTTCCCGCTGCTCTCTTGCGATGGGCTTTTGCTACTGTCTATCCTTGTAATATCCAAAATTTCGTGTGCTCCCCTCCGTCCCTCCCTGGCTTCTCCCCCTCCCAGCCTGTCCCCGGGATGCACCAGGGTCCCTGAACCTGCACCGGGTTCCCAAAAGCGTGTGCCCCGGGGTCCCGAGGCCTCCGGGACCATCAGTCGGAGATGTCGCTGCGGGCCCAGGGCCCGTCCTGGGCGCTCATATGCGGGGCAGCCGGGCTGGTCACCTGGAGAAAGGGAGTTAATTGGCATGGAGACGGGGGTGGTGGTGGTGGGGGGGAGTGGGGTGTGATGGGGAAGGAGCCTGCGATGTCTTTTATGTAACCACAAATATTTTTTGTCAATTCACACCAGACGGTCACACGTGGCTCTGGCGGGGTCAGTATTATATTTCACCCACATTTTTCGTCTGTCTTCAAAACAGGGCGGGCTCGAGCTCCTGGGGGTGTCTGTCCGAAAAGCTGGTTCCCACTGCAAGAAGAAGCAGGGAAGACAGGACCGGAGAAGGGGCTCCAGGGAGCGCGGGGAGCGGGGGCCGCGCTCCCCCCTCGGAGACGGGGAGCCGGGCCAGCTCCGACCCTGCCGGGCAGCGCCTTCCTTCCGTACTCCCTCCCTTCTGGAGAACCTGGCTCGCATACTTCGGACCGCGGTGCTAACCTCTCACCCACTCCTTTTTCTTTCTTTTTTTTTTTTTTTTCCTCCCTCTCTCTCTTTCTGTGCCTCGCTAATGACGTCCACCAAGGGTGAAATGATGGAAAGTATATTCATAGGCATGATTTCCATTAAGTATCAATTAACCTGGAGCCTCAGCCATGCGTGCACGGCGTCAAGGGTAAATGTGCATCTCATTTCCCAGCGCTCTGCTCGTCTGCGAGGAAATGACCCAGGGGGCCCGCTGGCACCGGGGTCCCGCTGCTGCCGCCCTCCAGGCCCCCCCAGCCGCCCTCACCGACACCCCCGGGCGCCGGCTCCCTCGGCCGGGTCCCCGCCGTTCCCGGCCGGCGGAGGAGGCCGCTCCGCAGCGCTTAGCGGCGGTCCGGAGCCCCGGGCAGCGCGGATCGGGAGGGGCCGGGCGGCCTCGCCCCGGGCAGCGCGCCTGCGGTTATCGCGCGGG